TTGAGGCGAAAGCATGGGGATGCTTACACTTTATCATTGGACTTAGCGGGTCCATACAAGTGTTCGAAGGATGCTCACCAGCAGAAGCCACGACACGCTGTTATTGGTGTGTATCAATTTCCAATGTTGGATCCCAATGTGGGTCGCCCTCCAGAAAAGGAGGAAGATGCGGATGAGGTGGAAGATCACGTGGCAGATGAAGGTGCTGGTGTTGGAGAATGGTTAGGCGATGCAGTCGCGAACTTCGAGGAGGAAGGCTCTGCACCGGTGGAACCTGCGCCAGTTCTGGAGGCGGAGGTGTTGAAAATTCAAGCTTCTGAGAAATCCTGGAAGGAACTGAAGGACCACTTGACCCAACCTGTCCGTATGATCAACTTCGTTATGGTGGAGCCGATTGTGGATAAACAGCAAACAACTGTTTTGTCGGCAGTTCAAAGGATGATGGTGCGCTTGCAGAGACATGGGTATCCGGTGTTGAGAATCCACTCAGATCGAGCGGGGGAGTTTGTCAATGCACGCTTCCGGTCCTTTTGTGAAACTCGTCTGATATATAGGACCACTGGTGATCCTGGAGTCCCGCAAACAAATGGGCGCGCTGAAGCATGTGTGGGTTTATTCAAACGTGGTGTCAGGTCGCTCTTAAAGGAGGCGCGACTCGGGCCGGCGTACTGGGCACTGGCTGCTCGCCATTGGTCAATGTTACGGTGGCAGAAAGCTGAAAGGGAGTTGGGGTTAAATCCTAAAGCATTGCTTCCTTTTGGTGCTCAGATTCAAGTCAAACGTCGTCCGTGGGAGTTGCTGGGTCCGGATGGAACAAAGAAAGGTCGGCAATGGGTCGATCGTACGCAGCCTGCGCTTCTTTTGGGTCCATGCGATGACCTACCTGGTGGTTATTGGGTGGAAGCTCAAGGGACTGCAAAAGATCCGGATGAACTGGTGTTATTTCCCTGCACTACGATTTTTTCCAATATAAAGGAACCGCCTGAATTGGAGCTGGAAGGGGTGGTAGAAGAACAGGAGCCTTCTCCTCCAGAGCATCGTCTCAAGGGGAAAAAACCGGCGCTTCGGTTTGCTGATGAGGAAGGACCTCCTTTACCTCCGCCTCGCGATCCTCCAGTTCGCCATCGGTTGATGGAGAAAAGCCCGGCCTCTTCACTGCGTGGTCATGTGGGCTCCTTGCGCTTGCTTCGCAAGCGGGGGGAGAGTCCGCCCTTAGAAATTTTCGAGGATGACATGCAGGGTCTGGGGGAGCTGGAAGAAAATGCAGATGTTGAGGACAATGTTCCTGGTGATGAGTATTGGCCGACTTGCTGTTCTCCTCATGAAAATGCTTATTTGGTCTGCAAAAGTGAGACTGCTGGGGATGGAACACAGTTGGAAAAAGAAGAGCAAAAAGCCAAGTCAATGTATGAAAGGTCTATGTATGATTACGTGGACTGCGAGGAGCTTTTGGAAGGGATTGTATACCCAAAGAGGGTGAATCGAAGAGGTGGTATCAACAATTGGTGCGCAAGTACGCGAGCTCTGGTGTTGGGCCACTATACTCATGGCGGAGTGTGTGGTATCACAAAAGAGACTCATCGAAGACCATGGCTATGTCGTTATTTGGCATCATTCGTGAGGCACCACAATCCTGAAGCCAAATTTTCTGCTCTTCAGATCTCATGCAATGCTCCGGTGTCATTGCATAGGGATAGTCACAATGAAAAGCATTGCTGCAATTATGTGTGTGGCTTTGGTGACTATAAAGATGGTCAGCTGTGGGTTGAGGATGAAAAGGTCTTAGAGGAAGGAGCTGAAGTGGTGGAGCAATCCTATGGGAAGAAAGTCTTACCTGGAAAATTGGTGGATATCCACTGGAACTTCATGTCGTTCTTTCCGAGAAAGCTGCATGGTCCTATGCCTTGGAAAGGGAACAGGGTATCCTTGACAGGGTACACACCTGTTTTTATGGAGCGTTTGAGCTACAAGGATAGGTGCTATCTTCTCCAATGCAAGTTTCCTCTTCCGGAACCACAAGCTGAAGAAGGTGAAAAAAGGAAGTGGTTAAAAATGACGTTGAAAGAGACCTCGCTGGACGACCTTGCAGAGGAAGTCGACTACGCTGTGTTCGAAGCGCATCAATGGGCTCTAGAGGAGCATTTGAGTATTCGACGCCTAATTGCTGAACAGGAATGTTGCATTTTGGACGAGTTCCATGGATCGGCCAATGAGTCGAATGAGGAGAAAGGATCAGAGACTAGAGAATGGCTGGTTAAAGCAAAAAGGGCTGAGGAACAGCTCTCGAAGTTTTTGGTCAAAGCAGCTCAAGTTCAGCAAATGGTGCAAGAAAATACCGCGCTTGAGGCAGCAGAGGAGGTTGAGTTCCTGCAAACAAAAACAATCCCTACACAAGAAGCCATGCAAGAGCTGGAAAAGTGGAGGGAATCATTGTCGGACGAGGTGACGTCTTTGGTGAAAGAGTTGGAGGTGGTGGAACCAACAACTCAAGAAAAGCTGGACAAATTGGCGGAAGAGCCTAATGCACCGGTGATTGAGCACGTTCCCAGTCTGGTGGTGTTTACCCGGAAGCAAGGGACAGGGAGGCGACGTGCCCGTATCTGTGCATGTGGAAACTTCATTTCGTCAACGGCAGCTACAGAATATGAAGGGCCGAGGTCACTCAGTCGTCACTCGCTGTACGCTCCAGGCTTAGATTCAACTACATTCAGGTGTCAAGTGAGGCACGCAGCATATATGGTATGGATCATCGCTGGCTTAGACATTTCCAAAGCTTTTCTGACGGCGCCGATGAATAGGGCGCAAAGAGAAGGGCGTTTGGTGGTGGTGCAGCCCCCAAGGGCGGCGGTGAAATTGGGTCTTTGCACAAAGGAGGAGCGGTGGATTGTGAGAAAGGCCTTGTACGGTTTGGCCGAAAGTCCTGCAGCATGGGTGGAGTGGCGAGACCAACGTCTTCAAGGTATGTCTTGGGTGTCAAAGGATGGACAAGCAATGAGCTTTCAGAGGTCCAATGCAGACCCAAGTCTGTTCCTTATTATGGCACAAGAAAAGCCGGAAGGTGCAAGCAAGTTGGTAGGGACAATGGGTCTTTACGTGGATGATTTTTTGATGGCTGGGACTATGACAGTGCTCCGGGAGGCCTTGGAACAGATTAGGAAGGAGTGGAAAACTTCTGAACCCGAGTTCTGTGGTCCAGGCTGCGGTGATGGATTCCTGAAGTTTTTGGGTGTCCAAATCTGGTATCGAAATGGCAGCTTCTTTCTCAACCAGGAGGACTTTGTGAGAGATTTGCTGAACCGACGAGGGTATCAGATCGATGAAACTGGAAAAGGGAGTAACCTGCCAATGGTGAAAGAAACTCCAGGTGAAGAAGAGGAGGTGGATATTCCTTCCTTGCGAGCGGCTCAAGGTGCCGTAGGGGAGTTCCTCTGGGTGGCAATCAAAACTCGACCTGATTTGGCGTTCTGCACGAGCCAGTTGTCTTTGTGGACATCCCGAAGGCCACGATTTGTGGTTAAAAAGGCTGAGGAAGTTTTCCGATACCTTGCTGCAACTCCAACGTTAGGCTTGACGTTCGGAGCAATCGCAACATGCGAAAAAGAAAGGAATGAGGTGTTGCGTTATGGACGAGGTGTTAAGGTGGTGGAGTCCTACGCGGATGCCAGCTTTGCAGCAGGTGAAAATGAAAAGAGCCACTCAGGAGCGGTGGTGGTGTGGGGTGACTGTCCAGTGATGTGGGCAACACAAAGACAATCAACGGTGGCTTTAAGTACAGCTGAAGCTGAATTACATGCGTCCATAGAGGGAGCAACGATGATTCAGTCGTGCACCCCTATAATTGCCGCTTTGGTTGGAACAGGTGAAGAATCGCTGCAAAAAGTGCTGTATACAGATTCGGTTTCAACGTGCTCGATCATTCAATATCCTGCTGGAAGCTGGAGAACAAGACACCTGAGAATTCGAGCAGCCGGTGTCAGGTCTCTGGTGGACCGTGGTTATATGGTGATAGCGCACCTTCGCGGTGAGTATATGATCGCTGACCTGTTGACTAAGTTAATGAGTGGACAGGTGTACGCAAAGCAAAAGGCACTTTGGGGTCTCAGACTGTTGGTTCAAGGAACTGACTTGAAAAAAGCCTCGCTTGCAATGGCGGCCATGATGGTGGCTGCATCTCTGCAAGGGATGGCAACTGGTGGCGAAGAAGTGTCCACGGCTGGATTCTTTTGCTCAGAAGAAGGGGTGTGCAAGGTCGCCAACACGTCTACGGTGATGGTTCTGGCTCAAGGTATTGAAATGGTTGTCAACAATTCAGACCTTGTTGCGTATTTGGTGGCAGACGCTTTGTAAGCATTGCCGCAAGGATGGCTGGGTGGTGAATGCTGAGTTCCTTGGTGAGGAACGGGCCGCTGGAACGTGAATTTTCCAAGTACGAGGTGAAGAAATCCTCAATGGTAAAGGATTCAGCCAATGAGCTGAAGGTTCGTCCTGGATGACGTTAAACCATAATGTGCATTTCAAGCAGCTGGCTGCTGCCTAAATGGCGGTTTTTGGCCAAAGAACGGCATCTCCAATGTGTCCTAGGAAATCCTAGGACAGGGGGAGTGCGGAGCTGCAACTGGTATTGTAGAAAAGAGTTGGTGATGAGAGTTGAAGGGGTCAATGAACCCGGATATTTTTTGGCTCAAGAAACGTGGGCAATGCGCCCTACGGAAAAGGTGTGTTTGGTTGTGCTTTGGGTTTTGTCTTCGGTTGTTCCAGGGGAATCAAGGGCTTCTGTTGGGGCTGACTGTTTTGTTCCCTGTCCTCCTTCGGTTGCCCCCCGTACCCTAAACCCTACAAGCTCGAAAACCCTGTAATTTCTAGATCCCTAACCCCTGAACCCAAAAACCCCTAGCGCCTCTTAAACCCTAAACCCTGACCCCTAAACCCTAAACCCTAAACCCGAAACCCTAAACCCTAAACCCACCCCGCTGGGAAAAACAAGGAAACGAGGCGTGGGCGTCGCAAGCCCCGCTCAACTTCAGAGTCGTCCAATCCTCTTGAAAAGAAGGAAGGGTTTAGGGTTTGCGGTTTGGGGTTTGGGGTTTAGGGTTTAGGGTTTAGGGTTTAGCGTTTAGCGTTTAGGGTTTAGGGGCTAGAGGGCTTTGGGGTTGAGGGGTATAGGACCCTCAACCCTAACCCCCAAACCCTAAACCCTGAACTGGCCAAACAACGGGTCCTGGTTCAGGATCAGTTCAGGGGCCCGGTACCAGCGATTGTGGTCGCCGTCGTCGAAGTGCACTGGCAGGGAGCTACTTCGGAGCTTTTATGGGGGTGAGGATTGGGATGTTCCCCCTTATACTAACAGGCCTTTTTAGAGATTGTAGTACCACCCCTCCTAGTCTCATGCCTACTGCGGACTGTTAGGGGGAACATCCCAAGGTGAGGATTTAGAGGGTCATAGGGTGAGAGGTTAGCACTTGTAGGCGGGTCATAGCCTTATAGGGTCGAGGATTTAGGTTTGGGGATGTAGGATGTGCGTTTGTAGGGTTATAGGGTGAACCTCCCAAGTAGGGGCCCTGAACCCAAAGCCCTCAAGCCCCCAAGCGGACAAACCCCAGACCGGAAACCAACAAACCGCACACCCTATATACACCCTAAAACCCTAAGCCCCCGAAACTGAACCCTAAAAGCCCTACGCGCTTCAAACCCCACGTAAACCTTTCACCCAAAGGAAGCCCGAAGCAAACTTTGAAAGCTCACGGGGTGTTGGGGCTTTGCTGTCCTGCAGAGCAGGGCTTAGAGGGTCGAAGTAAGGTTTAGGCATTCAGGGTTTAGGGTTAGGGTTTGTGGACAGGCTACTCCGGGCCTTGGAATGCCGAACATGAGCAGATCATAATAACGCCGACCAGGTGATTCACACATGTAAGACGGCGCAAGAACCATGATTTTCACGACGTTAATACCTTGGGCTTGAGTTTACCTCAAAAGAAGCAACCCTCAGCCCGAAGTAGTAATCCTAAGCCCCAAGCCCCTGTTTTCCTAAGGAGGCTTTAGCTGCAGGAATGAAAAGGATACCCTTTTGGTTTAAAGGGTCTTGTAAGGGAACCTAAACCCTAAAAAAAGGGAATAAGGGTCTACTCTTGGTCCGAACCATAAACCCCCCCCAAAAAAACCCTAAACTCTAAACCTCTATCCGAAAAAAAACAAAGGGGAATAAGGAATTTAGTCCTCCCTAGGTCGAAAGCAAGCTTTATCCCTTTGGAAATGGAGGCTTCTCAAGGATTGGGTTCTACGGCTTAGGGAGATGAAAGAGCTGAGCCCACACCTCAACCCTTCTGAGCCTCTCGGCTCCATGAGAACCCCTACTCGGAGCCCTAAACCCTAAACTCTAAACCCTAAAAGAAACCCTAAACCCTAAACCCTAAGCCCTAAGCCCTAAGCCCTAAACCCTAAACCCTAAACCTCCTCCCCACTTGGGCGTGAGACACAAAGGCCGGCCTGCGTTTGCAGGCAGGGCGTCCAAGAAGTCCGTCAGCTTCACATGGCAGTTCCTCAAGGGCCACGACTACGCTTTGCCCTAAACCCGAAACCCGGAACCCTAAACCCCAAACCCGAAACCCTAAACCCCAACCCCCAAAACCCTGAACACAAATTCCCCCACCTCCCCCCACCGTAGAATTCTCAAAGCTCAAGACCCCTAAACCCTAAACCCTAAACTTCGGCTCAGACGGGGGCTTCCCTTGGAATCCTTGCGGTTTTTCTCAGCATTTAGTTGCGGCAGGTTGAGCCGGAACCACAGTTTAGGGCGTAGCCGATTGATATTATGGGGTTTATATGGTTTGGGGTTTGGGGCACGGGGTTTAGGGTTTAGGGTTTGGGAGTTGGGGCTTAGGGGTAATTCTCTCAAGGGTTGTCAGTCATTCACCGATACCCTCAACCTCGATAGTAGTACGAGTAGCCGCGGCTTTGGATCAGGGTTAGGGTTTAGGGTGTAGGGTGTAGGGTTTAGGTTTTAGGGTTTAGGGATAAGGGTTATTCATTGATGCCAAGGCTCTTGTTCACCATGACGACGCGAGGCTTCAGCTGGTGATGAATCACGCCGGCGGAGTGCATGTAGCTCAACGCCCTGTCATAAAGCTGGGCTTCAGGTTCCCGTCAGTTCTCACACTGCTGGAGACCCTAAACCCCAAACCCCAAACCCCAAACCCTCAACCCTCAACCCCAAACCCTAAACCCTAAACCCCAAACCCCAAACCCTAAACCCTCTGTGGACTGGGAAAAGTCTGGGGTGTTGCACTCCGGGAATAGCTTGAGGACTTCAGGGACTCTCTGTGATACTCTGGTTCTTCCTTGCTGAGTTCATAAGCCCCCCCCAAAAAAGTGTACACTTTCAGTTCTATAGGGGATTATAGTACCCCAAAAGTGTAAAGTGTGCTCACTCAGCTGATAAGGGTTGGGCAGTCCAGGGACTTGTGTGGGGATACTCTGGGGTGGGATTCGGGTGATGGGCGTACCCAAAACACCGCAAGCCCCAAACCCTACACCCCAAAACACCTATCGTGAGCCCTTTAGTCCCTGAACCAGGTAAGCCCTATGCAGAAACCTCTCCCCACAGAGAATCTTCAACAATCCCCCGGCAACCAAATATATACACGCTCCCATTCTAGTATCATGGGAAGTATTCAGTTCAGAAGAATATAGGGGCCTGAATAACAATTGGGTTTTGGGGGGGTATTGTAGTATAATTCTAAAGGGACCCTAAGGGAATACTATTAAAGTAATTATTCCGACCCCTATATTAGGTGGGGGGTACGGCTTCTTCAAGCAAGTACGGGCGGGGGGAAAAAAAAAACTCAACCCCCCCCCCCCCCCCCCCCCCCCCCCCCACGCACCTCAAGATTTGATACGTCAGGTACTGGCAGTGCTCCTCGGTGAGCTCCTGTGAACTCCTGACCAGCGCCCCCTCCATCCCTAAGCCCGAAAGAACTCACAAGGAACCAACTAGTTCATGGTTAGGATAGTGTGAAAATCTAAGTTTCCATTCGTTATTGAGTAGTTTAAGTACCCTTAAGAATGCCAAATGCTGCCCCACTATGACAAAGCCGAGGGGGTGGAAGGGAGGGGGGTGGCTTATTTGGGATTCCTAACCTGCTTGGGGAAAAAGGCACTTAGCTTCCTTGTGGGTGGTTGTCAAAATTATGATCCCTTTTGGGGTACCCTAAATATTAGGTGCCGTATTCTAATAGGGACCCAAAAAGGGACCATAATTTTGACAACCACCCTTGTGAACAACAGAACCTACCAGGAAGCTCGCGCGCGTCATCCCAAGACCCCGGTGAGAGCCGCGCGTTGTCCGGACCATGGCTGACTCTTCCCCTAAACCCTAAACCCTAAACCCTAAACCCTAAACGTACTCCATGCCATGTCCAGGATGCGTGATGCCGCGCTCGCGTTTCGAGGGTGCTCATTACATGACCTTACATAGGTGGCTGTCAAAATTATGATCCCTTTTGGGGTACCCTAAATATTAGGTGCCGTGTTGTAACAGGGATCCAAAAAAGGGGCCATAATTTTGACCACCACCCACATGAGCACCCGAAGCAGGAGGGTTGGTGGCGGTGGACCTGCGGAAATGATGAGCTCAGCACCTAACTTTTCTGGGTCCTTCAGATTGAGGGTGCTTCGCCTGCAAGAAGCTCTCTAATCCCTAGGCATGTGAGGGCCCCCACACCACCCCAAGCCCCAAACCCTGAACCCAAAAACTAAACTTGAGGACTGCCTGCACCCTTATTAGAGGCTAAACCACACTTTTCATTGCCCAGAAGTGTATCGGAAGACGCTACGCAGCTGAAAAGCCGTAAGCGAGAAAGCCGTAAACGAAGCGTCCGAAACTGCAAGCCCTGAGAGAGTTTAAGAAGGGTTCCGGGCTCTCAGACTGGGTCCTTTTGAACATGTGTGTCCCTGCCCCCCCCCCCCCCCCCCCCCTCCCACAATGGGAGGGCACGCGTCTGGCCAAAGCCAAACGAGCTAAAGGATGTCCCACCTTAGCCCCTGAACCCCCAAACCCAAACCTCCACACCACTACACCCACAAAGCCCTGTATACGCCCCAAACCCTGACCCCTAACCCCCAAGCCTGAAGCCCAATCCCTAACCCAAAACCTCTGAGGTGGGACCAAAAAAAGACCCTAAACCCTAAACCCCAAGCCCCCAAAACCCCCTAGCCGTCCTAAGAACCGACGCCAGGTCGATGTCCATGTGCTCTACCATGATACCTCAGCGCAGTGTAGGGTTTAGGGTTTAGGGTTTAGGGTTTAGGGTTTAGGGTTTAGGGTTTAGGGTTTAGGGTTTGGGGTTTGGGGTTTAGGGTTTAGGGTTTAAGGTGTAGGGTTTAGGGTTTAGGGTTTAGGGTTTAGGGTCCATAATTTCTGGGTTGAGGGGTGTCTGTCAGGTAGTAGGTGACAAGCCCAAAATGCTACCCGGCAGAGCTCCCACCTACCCTCTGCATGTGTATAAAGTATGTATCTAGGTTTGTTCATACATACACATGCCTTGAAAAGTCCTGATGTACCTAAGGCCGATTTCGAGAGATTCGGGTAGAGTTTTGCCCTAGCCATAGCACAGGCATACGGAAAGCAGGCCCCACTCACTGGCAGCCCTTCGGCACTCAAGCTCGTATTTCAGCTTCAGGGTTTCCGTGGTTGGGGTGTTCAGTTTTTGGGTTAACGGTGCTTCAGCAGCCTCTGAGAACAACTTATATTCTTGTTCTAGGCTCTCTTGCATCCTTACTAGGCCGAAGTGTACCCTGCTGTTGCTTCCCCAAAACCCTAAGCCCTAAATCCAAAGCCTTCCTCTAGGATTTGCTGCAGGAGCCCCTCCAAAAACAAATGCTGAACAAGGTGATTACAACAGTATTCATGAGGAGGTTCCTGCCGCCAACGAGCCCCAATCTCTGAATCCTAAAGCCCTATAAACCCCTAAACCTCTAGAACCCCCTCTGAACCTCTACAAAACCCTGTAAGACTGTCTAAACCCCTACAAAACCCTTTAGAACCCTCCTAACCCCAAACCTCAAGGCCTAAACCCTAAACCCTAAACCCTAAACCCTAAACCTCAAACCCTAAACCCTAAATCCTAAACCCTGAATCCTGAACCCTGGCGGCCCCTTCCGGGGCTTGGGCAGATGTCGTTGAAGTCCTCGAAGGCGGGCGGCACGTCCAACAGCTTCCTCAGCTCCCAAACTGAAGTGTGTCTTCTTCTCGCACAGGCACTTTCCGGGACCCCTCGCCAGCCCTAGGGTTTCAAGGATTCAGGAAGGGAGGGGCCCGGCTTGCATTGGGGTCTTTGGGTTTTGAGGGTTCCAGGGGGCTTGGGGGCTTTTAGGGTTTAAGGGGTTTGGTGGGGCAGGGTCCAAGCGGGTTCAAACCCTAAACCCTAAACCCTCAACCGGCTCGAAGCCCCCTCCCCCTTAATTGCAAGCACCGGGCACCTCTGTGCATCAGTCTTTTGGGACTGGATGAACCCGAAGAGGTTTAGGGTTTAGGGTCATTTGGCGGAAGCCAAGCACACCCATGCCCAGCTGAAATGGGTTACAGTTTTTTCAAAATTATGTCCCCCCGCCTCCCCTAAACCCTAAACCCTAAACCTTGAACCCTAAATCCTAAACCCTAAACCTTGAACCCTAAACCCTGGACCCAACCCAAAAACCCCCCCAAAAAAGGATGACCCCTATCCGAATCTGATACAGCACCTAGCCCTAGGACGACCCCCTTCTGCAAGAGCGAAGGCTCAAGATGTTCTCGTGCTTGAAGTGTTGGAGCAAGTAGATCCTTGGTCGGCTGACACGTGGGGGCTTGGACGTCTCAAGCCCTATGTCTACATCCCTAGACCCCTAAAACCCCTAAAACCCCTGAACCCTACACAAACCCTGAACTCTAAACCCTTGCCCGTAGTTTTAAACCAACCCCCCCCCCTCCCTGGGATCCCAACCCCTAAACACCTGAGGTTTAGATTACGTAGGGGTTTTGGGGTTTCGGGTAACCTCCCAAAACCTGAAGCCTGAACCCTGTAAAATCCGTAAATCCACTAAACACGTATAGCAAGATTTCCCAGCTTGCAGAATACGATGTCGGTGATTGTCCGGCCGGAGTTATTGTTAGCACCCTATACCCTACACCAAACTCCCTGAGTCCCTAAACCTAAACGATAAACCCCCTATATCCGGAAAAAAACCCTTAACACTAAATTCCTTAACCCTCTGAGCCCACAAAGTACATTCAACCTTTTCCATGTCTCCCGTTGTAGAGGTAGCTGTCGGTGGATTAGCTACTGCTCTAGGTCTCCTTCCTGCTCCTGTCCGTCTTCTTATGCTCATGGAAGCTTGACCATGCTCTTCAGCTTCATCAACCCTAAACCCGAAACCCTAAATCCTGAAACCTAAGCCCTAGACCCTAAATCCTCAGCCCTAAACCCCAGACACCCCCATGGAGACGTTCAACATCATCGTGGAGAGGCTCCCCAACAGTGGAGGCTTCAGGGTTTAGGGTTTAGGGTTTAGGGTTTAGGTCACCGTTTCTGATCCTGAACCCCAAACCGAGCTGGGCTACTAAGAATCAGAGGCAACTTAGGGTCTCCCTCCCCGTGAGAATTTAGGGTTTAGGGTTTAGGGTTTAGGGTTTAGGCCTGCAGAGAAAACACTGAGAGCCCTATTCTCCTAGGGTACTTTTGTACCAGTAGCAAGGGAACAGGGGGTTTAGGGCTTGAGGTGCTTCTCCAAGGAGTTGCCGGAGACGCTGGCTGTCAGACATCTCCATGTTGAAGTCGCCAAGAATGACAGCTGGGATATCACCACGGGCGGTAGCATCTTGCGCTGCGTCGAAGAGCCCCTTGGGGTAGTGGCATTTGGTGACTTTCCCACCTGTCACCACTGGGGCCGTAAGTCACGGAGACCAACATGGAGATTCCTCCTTCCCCGAGCCAGATCTGAGTTGCAAGCAACCGTCTTTCTCCGCCTCCACCGCGAGTACCAGTAAGCACCCTCTGCTTGCCAGTACTGTTCCTCCGACGGAACGAGGGCAGGTCAAGGGGGTAGGAGCTGCTTCACCGCCCAAGAAGAGGCTTTGTTTGATGAGCAGACCTGCCCCAGTGTAGTGTCGAGCTGCAACGCCAGGACTCCAGAAAGTGTGAGGGTCCAGTGAGGGTATGATCCCCTTAAACCCAAGAATGTTTTCAAAATGCTATCTATTGCAATGATACAAGGATGATGGGACAAAAGCACTTGGCACCCATTTTGGCCCCCTGCAGGTACTTAGGGGTTTCCTACAATTGGGGTACCCCTTTTTACCCCCCAATTTCGTAGAATCCCCTCTAAAAGGACCTCTAAAAGGGCACCCCCCATTTTCGGAACCCTAAACCCTAAACCCTAAACCCCCATTTGGGGGTGGGGGGGGGAGGAGAGCCTGTAAGGCCGGGCGTCTCCTTCACGAGATTCCCAGCCCACTCCTCGTCAGAGAAGGCCTGCTTGACGCACCTCCCACGGTTTAGGGTTTATATAGGATTTTGTGTTTAGGGTTTAGGGTTTAGGGTTGAGGGTTGAGGGTTGAGGGTTGAGGGTTTAGGGTTTCCCATGTTGCAAAACCGACACCCTCTTTCGGGGGGTTGGGGGGGTCCTCCGGAGGAATGTACTACATCTGGAGCCAAAGCCTAAACCCTGAACCCTAAACCATACACATCCCTAAGCCATTTGAGCTTTTGGCTGGAATAGCAGCGCAGACTCTTCGCCCACGGTTCCATAGCCCGAAACCCCAAACCCTTCAGGTTTTCGGGTTTGCTTCCGCGCCCTGAGTTTTGCAGTGCCGTGCACCCTAGGAAAGAAAGGGATAGAAAGGGTGCCCTTTTGGGTTTCAAGGGGGCTTATAAGGCAACAGAAGCCCTAACAAAAAGGGAATAAGGGCCTACTACTCTGGCTCCCAGCCCTAAACCCAAAACCCTGAAGCTTTTGGGGGTCCTGCGTGCTCCTCCCGAGTTGTTTTTTGCTGGCGTGCGCCAGTCCAGCGACGGCACTTGAGGGTTTAGGGTTTAGGGTTTAGGGTTTAGGGTTTAGGGTTTAGGGTTCACCCTACAGCTTCAACGGTAAGCCCCCAATGCATCCAGCAACTCCGCACTGAGCAAGGTCCATGCAGCTGCTACATGAAACCCTTTTGCAAGCCCTGAACCCCAACAACAACTCAGCTCCTGCACCCAGGAGGGTAGTTATTATTTAAATTTTTAGCCGCCTTAGTAAGAAACCCAATGAACCCAAAAAGGTGAAGGATCTAAAGTTACAGTAAAGCACCACAAAGCTTCATGGAACCTGCTTGAAATATTTCTACATGGGTACACAAGGGCTCTGTAGCGGGGTCCCAGCACCCCGAGACCCACCAAGAAGCTAAAACCCTAACGCCTTAACCCTGAAACCCCTGAAGCCCTTCAACCCCATACCCTGAACCCTCAAACCCGCACCCTGCCAGCCGAACCTTGAAACCCTGTAGCCTTGAAGCCCTAAGGTATGCAGGGTTGAGGGGCCGTTGAGGGTTTAGGGTTTAGGGTTTCGGGTTGTAGGGTTCAGGGGTCTTGGCGCAAAAGGTTTCTGGCTCAGAGTGGAGTGTTAGTCTCGACCCTACGCCCTAAACCCTAAACCCTAAGCCCCAAACCCTAAACCCACAAGCCTGATGGAGATCTTGTCCCCCAACATGGCATCCCCTCGGCGATAATTGGGCTCAGGGCTCAGGGTTCAAGGTTCCGGGCTTGGGGTGGGGGGGGGGTTCGACTTCAAGACCCCCCAAACCCGTTTAGGGTTCAGGGTTTGGGAGACTTGGGGGGGGAGGGGGGGGTTTAGGAGCCCCCCCAAAAACCTCAAAAGGCCCGCGAAACCCTCATCAAAAAACACTGGGCTTGAAGTATAGGGATGACCCAAAAACCCGAAACCCGAAACTCTAGACCCGAAACCCGAAACCCCAAACCCGAAACCCTAAACCCTAAACCAAGAAATCCCTTAAAAGCCCCCTGAAGCCCAGCTCCAGGCTGCTGTTCATGACAGGGAGTGATGGGGCATAAGTGAGGGTGTTACAGGCTGAGGGCCTGCTTGCTTGAAGGGTTTGGGTTTGGGGCTTAGGGCTCTACGCTTCAGGGTTTAGGGCATCGGGGTTCAGGGGTTTAAGGTAATTGGGGGTTTTGGGTTTTAGGGTTTTATGGCTTTGGGAAGGCATCTAAGCGAATGGTCTAGCTTTCCTGTCGGCTCTGACTAATGCAGAAACGCGGACTTCCCTTTTGCGTCCTGTAGGCGTCCCCGCAAAGGCCAGGGTCCAGAGTTTAACCCACAGTATGGGCGGGCATGATAAGTCATAAGGGGCACCCTTAACCCCAAACCCCAAACCCTAAGCGCCCAAGCAGGGTATGAAGCAGGGACACAATTTCGAGAACACCTGCCTCTGAGGCGGACTGAGGCGCGAAGTCCCTAAACCAACAAGTCTCCCCAACCCTCAACACCTGCAAGAAGCCCAAACCGTCGGGGTCTCCCAAAGCGCAGCCCGGGCCGCGAAAGGTGTAGTGCCGCCAGAAGGCACACGCGCCTAGGGCATGTTGGGGGTAGAGGGTTTTTGGAGTTGAGGGTTTTAGAAACGGAGGTTTGCGATATTAGGGGTACCTTAATGGGGGGTCCTTGTTATACGGGGTCCTACTATTTGGGGGGCTATACAAGGGGTTCCTTATTCCCTAGGGGTTTGGAGGATTTGCTAAGGTTCTGGCATTTGTAAGATTCAGGGCTTTAAGGATTGAGGCTCTTGAGGCCTAGTCGCAATACCAGGCTGCAACAAGGGTTGTCGTTTGGGATGTTCCCCCTTATGCTAACAGTCCTTAATGGGGATTCTCGTACCCCCGATTCTCATCCCCATTAAGGACTGTTCGTATAAGGGGGAACATCCCAAGTTGTTTGTGTATTCAACAGGAGTCACAAGACTTGCTGACCCAACACCCGAGACACACAAGCCCGAAGCCCGAACCCCAGAAATAAAAGGAAGTCTCACCCCGTAAACTCTAAACCCTAAACCCTAAATAAACCGGTTTAGGGTTTAGGGTTTAGGGTTTAGGGCTAGGGTTGAGGGTTGAGGGTTGAGGGTTGAGGGTTTAGGGTTTAGGGTTTAGGGTTTAGGGTTTAGGGTTTAGGCTTTGGGCTTTAGGCTTTAGGCTGTGGAGTTCAAGGTTTCGGGTTTACAACCCCCCGAAATACAAGGAAGCCTCAAACTCTCCACCGAAACCTTGGTGTGGTGAGGTGCTTGTCTAAGCCTAAACCCTAAACCCTAAACCCTAAACCCTAAACCCTAAACCCTAAACCCTAAACCCTAAAGGGTTCACCCTAAAGTACCTGTGTCCCTCAGTGATGACTAGCCGTGAGTCTCCAAGCAGCTTGAGGGTTCTCAAGGGTTTGGGCCTAAACCCTAGACTTTAAGCCCTAAACTCGAAACCCTAAACCCTAAACCCTAAACCCTGAACCCCAAACCCCAAACCCTGAACCCTGAACCCTGCCTGATAACTTCACCTTGCGGAGGCGCGCGGGAAGAAGCTGCTGACCAAAGCCTCCAACTGTTGTAGGGCCTATCTTACTTCTCCTATAACCAAGGGGAAAAAAGGTTAAACTTTAATATTCCTACCAAATAAGGAAACCCAAAAAGTTCAAAGTTCAACTAAAGGCGAAGTAAGCTATAGGGTGAGAAAAGCCGAATCTAAACCCTCAACCTTAAACCCTTAGGGTTAAAAATCCGAATCTGGGCTTTGGAGGGTTGTGCCTTGGACCGCTGTGCCCTTGGGTTTTGGGGACCCTTTTAAAGATCCCTCAGGGAATATAAGGGCCATATTAGAAGTAGACTAGGGGAAACCTTAAGGGATAGAACCTTAGGCGTACGAGGCACAATCCCTTGAGGTTTAGGATTTAGAGAACCTTAAACGGCCCTAAACCCTAAACCCCAAAGCTCTTAGAGTTTGGGAGTCCACGTTTAGAGAGTTGAGAAGACCACCGGCATTTGGGGCGTTTATCCTGGGATCCCCTACGGCCTCGGATTTACAAGGACTTCCTTTCGAGCATTGGGTTAGCTGCTATGGGTTTAGGGTTTAGGGTTAAGTTTTTAGGGTTTAGGCTTTAGGGTTTAGGGCTTCAAAAGGGGAAACAGGAACACGTGCCAGACGCCTTTTCTGCCCTGATGGCCCTAGACCGCGCCTGTGACAAAGAAGCCGGGCAACCCAAACAAACATAAACCAACATCTCCTAAACCCAAAACCCAAAACCCAAAACCCTAAACCCTAAACCCTAATCCCTAAACCCTCTCTCGCACCGCAAAAGCCCCATAACTTGGTATGTTCCCCCTTTATGCTAACAGTCCTTAATAGGGATTAAACATAGGGGTACTAGGATCCCCATTAAGGACTGTGAGTATAAGGGGGGAAGATCCCAACCCAAAACCCCAAAACCCCAAAACCCCAAAACCCCAAAACCCCAAAACCCCAAAACCCCAAAACCCCAAAACCCAAAAACCCCAAAAACCCAAAAACCCAAAAACCCAAAAACCCAAAAACCCAAAAACCCAAAAACCCAAAAACCCCCTAAACCCCTAAACCCCTAAACCCCTAAACCCCCCTAACATTGCAGTTAAAGGCGCTCAGAAGCGATCCTAAACCACTTAACCCCCCTACAAACAGGGAATAAGGGCCTACTCGAGGTCCTAGTTGCCCAGCAAATCGTGCAGATCCCCCGGCGCTCAGCCCTGCCCCCATCGCGATTGCGGAGGCTCCAGTCGCATGGTGGTGCCCGGAACCCTAAGCCCTAAACCAAGCAGCTGTGTCCCACAGGCGAAGCTCTGCGAAGGCCCACTGGTCGGGCCCAGGGCTTGTGCATTTGCAAGTCGTTAAGTGCTGCCGAAGTTGCTGTCCAGTAAGGGCAACAGGTTGCAAACCGCTCTATTCAAGGTAGGCCCAACTGCCTGCATGAAGGCATGAAGGGAAGGTTTTCCGTTGCTATGAGCCCTGAAAATGCCCGGTGGCAGCTGTGACCTCTTTATCACTCTGTGTGGCCGGTACGAGCGGCTTTGCTTCCCGCACGGTCTTCACCAATCTCCTGATGCCGCGCTTTTTGCAGGAGCCCGGCGACGCGTGGCACCACTGCTGTAGGGATTGCAGACATTGTGTGCGTGCCTCATCCCTAAATCCTTAACCCTGCCAAACTGCAACCATTTCCCAACACCCCGCCCCTCTTAGGAAAGGATCCGAAAACCCAAAACCCCAAACAGCCTAAACTCCATAACCCCCAAAGCCTAACCCTCAACCTGATAACCCGAATCCCCCAAACCCCTAAAACAGCCTACATGCCTAAAGTCCTGCACCCGAAAAAGGCAAACAAAAACCCAAAACCCCAAAACCCCAAACTCCTAAACCCAAATCCATAACCATCCCTAACCTCCTAAACGCCGAAAAACCCCAAACAGCCTAAACCCAAAGCACTAAACCCTCAACCCCAAACATCCCTTAAGCCAGCTGCCTTCCAAGGTCACTTCTTCGAACTCCTCGCTGACGACACTCACCTGGGGAAGGAAGGAGGTTCCCGCGGGGCGGCGGTGGCACCAGGTTTAGGGGGTTTAGGGTTTAGGGTGTCAGGTTCAGGGTTCAGGGTTCCGGGCTTAGGGTCTCATGATTTCTGTACCCTAAGCCCTATATACTACCCTCCACTGCCATAGTTTCGATTGGGGCACATGGAAGTGGATCAAAGTACCTGTTCCCAAAATGGCCGGGTAGACATTTCCCGTATGAACCTTGTAGGAGCCCGGAATCATTTTCCGATGAAGGACCTTAAGAGCAACTCCCAAATTCAGTCTAGGCCGGTTCAGGGTAAAGGGTTCAGGGTTTAGGGTTTAGGGGTTCAGGCTTTACTTGTTGTTTGGGCCTCACGGGGGCAAAAGGGCTGAGCACCCTCTTTTTTTTTTTTTTTTTTTTTGGGGGGGGGGGGGGGTAGGTACGTATTTCTAGTCCCTGGCACCCTTGAGCAAAGAGTCAGGTCACTATGGGAAATCCTGAGGTCTCTGGAGATATGGAGCTGCGAGAGGGCAGCTTGGTGAACCCAAGCTGCTTCTCGGGTGCAACATAGGGGTTTAGGGTTTAGGGTTAGGGGCCTGAATACTTGGAAAAGGGGTTTGGGGAGGGGGGGGGGTTCTTGTTGCATTTTACACAGGGACCCTAAGGGAATACCATCCGACCCCTGTATGAGGTTCTTGGGTTGTGAACTTGCGCCCACACGCCACGCCCGCACCCAACCGGCGGAACAACTCTTTCACACGCAAGGACCTGAATGAAGCTTTTAGAGGCCCAAGGGTGCCCTAAACCCTAAACCCTAAACCCTAAACCCTAAACCCTAAACCCTAAACCCTAAACCCTAAACCCTAAACCCTAAACCCTAAACCCTAAACCCATGCATGAACCCTACGCCCAAGACGTTGAAAGTTTACCGGCCTTGAGGGCTTTCGCAGGGAGCACCCGAACAAAAAAACCCTCCGGACTTCGGGGACTCTCAGGCGCACGAAAGCTCGCGAGAGTTCAGGTTGAGGGGCAGGTTTAGGGTTTAGGGTTTAGGGTTTAGGGTTTAGGGTTTAGGGTTTAGGGTTTAGGGTTTAGGGTTTAGGGTACGGGGGGACAACCAAAGAAGGAAAGAAATCAACCCCACTGATCGCCCAAAACTTATATTCCCCAGATCGAACCAAAAGACAACCCAAAACACGGATAAGAGCAACCCAGGGGGGAAAGAAGGGGGAAAGGAATCCACACCCTTAACAAACCCTAAGAGCCCAGGCACTACTTTTTGAACTTGTGGCTTCTTGTTCAAGCCCATCTTGAGCCAAATAGTAACGGGTACGTTGACCCTTCTTCCTTCAACACCAACTCATTTCCTGAATACAAACTGCAGCTCCGCACTCCCCCTGTCCTAGGATTTCCTAGGACACAAACTGGAGGTGCAGACTTTTGGCCAAAAGCTGCCATTAAGGCAGCAGCCAACTGCTTGAAATGCATGGTATGGTTTAACGTCATCCAGGACGAATTTATAGCACATTGGCTAAACACCTTTTACCATGGAGAATCTTTTTACCACCATGATTCTCTTGTCTTTGAAGACTCTTCAGCCTTCTTCACCACGAACCGTGGTCTTCGCTACGCAAAAGGCTACACACTTTCTACTATCAGGGATTTCCATACCCTTAATAGTAACCACCATACCTTCAGCACATTGGCTGTTCCAGCGCACTTGTCTTCAGAAAGAGAAAAAACCATTCCCTCATCAATACCATCCAGTCATCCCTTCTTCTTCTTCTTCCGGTGGGCATCGATGCTTAGATGAAGTCGCAGCAAAACGTGCTCCAGGTCCGACACTGTAAGAACAGGATCCTGCACACACCTTTGAATTGAGGATACCAACCCCTCTCTCTTCGCGTCCTCAATTGCTTGGCAAGATTGACCCAGCTCTGCATCCACAGTGGTAGACGCTTGCGCATCCACATCAGAGGAACGATCCTTTTCCTCAGGACCTTTCACCACTACCACCTCTTCCTTCTTGGGACTTTGACTTTTCTCTTTCTTTTTCGTCTTTCCTGAAACGCTTGTCTTTGCGCGCATTCGCGAAGAGGCCTTTTCCCCTCCAGAAACCACCGCGTTGGATGATGATCCACCCTTCTCAATGTTCACCGGCATCTTCTTCGGCTTTGGAACCAGAAGAGTATAAGGATCCTCACTGGCCGTAGTTTTCCTCTTCTTTTTGGCCTTTTTCACCTCTTCTTCAACGGTGACATCCGTCTCCGAGGTTCCAACCACCTCCTTTTTGGCAGGAGTGTCCTTACTGGACTCCCTTTCTAGGGACCTCTTTTTGCCCCTTTTCGGATCTCTCCCTTCTTCCATATTGGCTCGCTGGAACCATATCCTCAGGTCATTGATCCATTCTTCCACTTCCACCAGCGAAATCTCGTACGACTTCACTATTTCGTGAAGTTCCAGTAAAGACAACATACCAGTTGTCCATGAACACCATTCTGCATCCATCTGTTCAGTATCTCCATTGAACTTCAAGAGTTTGAACACCGGATCCGCCTCTGCGCGGGCTAAATCTGACTTTCCATCAGACATATACGAAATTGCCTCCATCAGCAGTTCTGTCATCTTGGTATCGTCGTCATACACCATCAAATCCTCCTCTTCTTCATCATAACGTTCAGGAGAAATTTCCTTTCCTCCACCTCTTGTACCAGTACTTCTCCTTGGACTATCCCTTGGGGGCGTCCTAGGAGACCTTGGCCTCTGGTCATCCAGCGGATCACCATGTTCGAAGACGCACCTGTCCCCATGACGGCACTTCCCAGACTGAGCAAACTGGATACACCTTACACCAGTTGCATTGTGCGAGAACTTACAGTCCTCTCCAGAGAAGCAGTGTCTCCCAGCCACATAGTATTTGCACCAATACGATTGTAGCACCACGTCATCCTCTGAATGGATGAATTTGCAACTCTCACCAAATTTGCAGCGATCTTTTCCCCTGCTGAACCAATAGCAGATGCCTTTCTTCCTCTTCTCCAGACGCTCCGCCTCGTACCGGTCCATAGGACGATTCTGCTCTACATGAACATTGCCATGTACCTGAGAACTGCTCCCTTCACCCAAGGTGCTATCAGTATTTGGTGCTTTGAGAACAGCTGGAAAACCTGGCCTTGGTCCTACCACCTTCATGATTGGTTTTCCACCAGCTCCTGAGCCATGCTGAGACGATCCAAAAAGATTGAACGTTTTCAAGAAGGCCTTTCTAGTGCCGATCTTCCGCACCTTCTTGATTGGACAAGTTGTTACTCCAACCTTAGGTCCAGATACACTTGAACGACACAACCTCCTACACCCAGCTCTATATCCCTTTTTCCAAAGAGCCATAAATAAGAATTCTAGAGGCAGTAACATTCTCCACCTCTACCTTTTCCAACTGTCCCTCACTTTCCGGAACAAACCCATCCAACCCATCCATATCTGAAGATCTTTCCATCTTTTTTGACACCACTCCGTCGAGGTAATCTTCAGAGATCCAGGGTAAGTTCCTCTTAGAGGAAAAATCATCACCATTGTCCGGTCCTTCACCAGGATACCCCTTCGTACTGTCAAAGATCCTCCCAGTAGTGCGGTCTTGCATAGAAAAATCCCAGTTGGAAGCGACACGAGAATACACCGACCACAAGAACATTCTTGTGCCAGCCAATCTTGACGAACCACTGGTTGTCTCCTCTTCTGGAGAAACTTCTGGCGCTTTGCCATCAATTCCAGTGTCACCAATTGCTTCACTTCCAGTGTCTTCTATGGGAATAGGGGATTCATTGATCCCTTGTTCAAGTACCGCATCTTGCTGTCCAGAGATCTCCAGCACCATCCCTGAAGGATCCACTTCCTCATCAGCGTCGTCGTCCATTCTTTTCCAGAGAACCTCCAATTGATCAGCACAAGTCGCCGCCTGAAGGAACTCCATCATTTGGTCCCTCCCGCGCTGCCAGAGAAATTCTGAATTCACCACCAACCCTTGGCCTCCTAGAGTAAGGAACGGAGAAACCAATTTGGCTACCCTCGCCATAAGTTCAACATGAACTTCCATGCCTGGACTGCGACTCCAATCGTAGGCTATTGCCTCCATAGCAGTTCCAAACTTTTCAGTATTTCTGAATTCCCTTTCCAGGCCAGGAGATAGCAATGCACCCATCACCGAAAGAGGATAATTTCCCACAACTGGCGCGCACGGAGCTTCATGGAACGGATGATGCAAATCACCATAATGTCCTTCATCTCTCCTTTGAAAAAGGAGTCTCCCAGTCTCCAGCTGGGCATTCAGTTCATCCACTTGAACCATTTCAGCACATATCCTCTGCGCTGCAGCCGCTATTGCAGGCCAGATGGCACGGTCGGTCAAACCGCGACGCGTAACCCAATCAGTTGTTGGCGATTGAATCAGTGTTCTTGGGTCATACGCCGTAACCACTGCTGTACCATCATCCATTGACTGATCAGCATCGTCCACCAGTGCCAGGTTCAAATCCTGTTCGCTTGCACCGTCGGATGACATGCTAATAACCAAATTTCGATCCATTTTATTGGACCCTTTTTGACAGTCCTTTTGCCCCACAGGCAACTTGCCGACAGCAACCTTCCAATAAATCCGATTCAGAAGGCCTTTGGTAAGCAATTGCTGATGGCCCTTCTGCACCGGAAGAACATCCAATATCTTCGTACCATCACCACGGAGTTCATTGCTCCCACCTTCTTCTTCTTTTTGGCCAGTCTCCTCGCCAGGAATTTGTACTGCTCCTTCTAGCGCCGTCTCCTGTCCAGCCACATCTTGCCCAGGTAGAACTTGAGCGCTTTCAGATATGTTCACCTGTCCAGCAACACCTTGCCCAGGTAAAACCTCATCCGTGGAGCCCACCGCCAGCGAACCGACAATAACAGAGCCATCCCTTGCCCTTTTTTGAGACTGCTCAGCTCGACGAGAAGGTTGTGATAGCGAAAAAACTTGAGA